TTCTGCTGTGCATGGGATCACTGTGAGTCGGTTCTGACTCGATGGCACCTGACAACAACAACAGTGGCTTGTACATCCTGCTTCCTTTACTTGACATAGAGGTGCTTTTTCATATGGCTGCTCTTCCTTATTTCCTTTTGTTGTGACCTACCAAAACAGCCCTCACTTCTCACCTTAAACGTCACTGTCTTAGAAGACCTTCCTAGTATCTTAGTCTGAATTCTTTCTTTTTTGAAAAAAAAAACAACAAAAAACTGCCCTGTCATATTCTTACATTGTCTGCAAATGGAGTTTGCTAGATATTTGTAGTATAATCAGTAGCACAGAGTCTGAATCTATACTGCCTAAATTTGAATCTAGGATGCTGTTTTTCACTTATATGACCTTGGCAAGTTACATAATTTCTATATGATTCAATTTCTCTCAGTGTGATCATCAAGTGATCATGAGAATGGAGTTGTCTATAATTAACTGATTTGGGGGGAGGGGGAGTCATCAAGCTATGAGATTGGGCATATGTACTAGCAGTCTGTCATCTACTGGAAATGAAAAATTATAGTGCAAATAAGCTAGAGAGCAAGTGGAACTTCTATTTGATTGCCTTCTTTCTTGTATGATACGCCTGTGGTTTCTTATGACCAACTGAATTGAGGCAGAATAAACTGAGTTTTTACAGACATATTCTAGCAACAAAAAACTTTATGCCTCCCCATGAGTTTTCCAGAAAAGCAGTTAGCCAGCACCCTCTCAACTCCATAGATTCCTCCTTCTCTTCTTCTTCAGACCCTAATGGCAAAGAAAGTCTCATTCTACAATGCAAATTCATTTCTACTTCCTGACTGTCACATTCTGAAGTTATAAGTAATAAACAAAATCCAGGAAGGCTTAAGATATCCCTTCACTCTGTCCATTCCTCCTAGTGAGGCCAGGGCTACTTGCTTTAACTGGAATGGGAATGGAAGAAAAGAAAAGAAAGAAAGAAATTTTTTAAAATATGAAAACATGGAAGAAAAGAATCAGGAAACAAAAGGTTGTTTTTTTTTTCATTTGAAATTGTGTTATCCTCTTCAATTTCTGTATATATTGAAATCACTAGATTTTGTAAAAATCTGGAGACTATATTGATCCAATTCTCTTGTCTTCAAGTATTGAGAAAGAAGATAGAACATGAGAGGACATTTACTTGCAAATGCAGAGGCCAGAGTCAGGTTCTTGCAGCCCTTCTCTGCAGTGTGTTTTTGTAGGAAGTCATTGTGAGGAGGCTCAGGCAGGAAGGTCACCCAGAGATTAGAGCTCCTAGAGATTTTCATTGCACAGGTGAGAGTCCCTGCAGCAGCTGAATTCCACAGTATAGATATTCCACTTTATGTTGTCAGCATCAGCACAATTCTTTTGGCAGCCCTTGAAGGTTAGCCAGAGATCATAGGTCAGACCAATCTCTGAGGAAAGGAAGAGAAACAGATCAGCCAGTCTGGCCCCAAGACTTCTGTAAGGAAGCCTTGAGGCTCTTTAAGTCTAATGTCAAGTACAGGAAGACATGGCAAATTGTGTGCTTCCCAAGAGAAGAACAATGACAGAGCCCCTAAAAAAAAAAAAAAAATCTCATGGAGAGGAGTAGGGAGGTAATAAGAGTTATAATTCAAGGAATCCCCAGGCTGCATTGTTCCATGGAGAATCTTAACACTGACAAGAGAACACTGACCACTAAGGTTGGGGAGATAGAAAAGTCAGATGTTTAGCTTTACCCACCAAGGGCCACATAGTGCCTAGTGCTGACAGTAGTCTCTTGGTTTCCACAGTTTAGGCTAATTAATTAGGGAGTCCAGACAATCCGCAAGAAAAGGAGCTCCCCTCAACAATACTAATGACCAGTTGTTCTCCACTGGTACATTGTGGCTTTCCTGTTCCCTTCAGGCTTTCTAAGGCATGGGTCCCATAGACACACCCTCACCCTTACTGCCCACCTCCATCTATTTTTTCACTGTAGGACTGGGAAGCCATACCAGTTATCCCAGGACTGACACTGGCTATAGTAAAGTAAGGCCTTTATCTCACTATGACTGATTAGTGTCTGTCTGCATTCACTGCCCCTTCCATCTTCCCCCCAAGCCCAAACTTACTTTTGTACATCTTCCCTACTACACAGGCTTCGTTTGTGTCTGCATTACATATTCCTCTTCCTCTGGAGCACTCTTCTCCTGGAAACTGGAGGTAACACATCCTGCACTGAACAGTCTCTGCAAATTCAGCTAGAGAATAGGGAAATAAAAGTGAGAGCAAATCTCAAACCACCTTATAAGGACCTATTTTCTCTTTCAGGCTTGAAGTTGTCTTGGAGTCAGAGGATTTTGCTAGAACCCATAGCAGAGCATCTGCCTCTATTAAATAGGCTACACTAAAAGAGTGACTTGAGTTTGTTGTCTCTGGAGTTTTAGCATGAAAATAAGAGTGGAAAGAATGGTAGAAGAATAACAGAAAGAGAAAAAATTCAGGACTGAGATGATCAGAGCAGATCTTATTCAGACCCACTAAAATTATGCTATTTGCCAGCAGCTTATCTTTTATGATGATTATTATTATTGCTAGAAAAGATAAAATAAAGCCTGCAATTATATCTGATATATATCCCTGCCTAAGACCATGGTCATGTCCCCTTCAGGATTCATCCTAGGTTCTTAACATGGAGTCAATCCAACCCCTTTCTATCCCTCCAAGTCCATGTTGTCAATCTCATTTCATCTCTGTATCTGTTCCCTCCTTCCATTTAAGTCTTGTTGGGCCTTTAAGACAACCTAACCTCTCAATAGCACAGACACAAATGATAAAGCAAACACACATTTGGAGTTTCATGTCCTTCTTTTTAATTGATCCTATGTGGAATTCTTACCTGCATGTGTTTGAAAGCTGACAAGGGGACAAACACCTGAAATCATGACCTCCTACACTTTGGACATGGCCAGGTCAGGCATCAGAAGTAATTATTCCCTTTCCTCCTTTCCCTTTGTCTTACCCTTCATCACACTCACTGCTAGCCTTGTCAGATGTTGCTCATCTTTTCTTGTCATATCTAAAATCAGCTTCTATCCCAGCTCCATTGTGCTGGAATCAAGGATAAGGAATATTTAAACACTGACAAGGGAACATGCATGGCTCCCTTCAACCTCTAGTGTCCACCCCAATACCCCTCTTTCCTCTCCTCTTCCCAACCCCCAACTGTTCCCAATGCAGATCCATTTATACTTACCTTGGAGAACTTGTTTTAGAAATGATTCGGATAACACTACAGAAAAAAAAAAAAAAAAAAGATGCATTTTCTGGTTACAATTTCATTTTCCAAACCCCAACTCACAGATTCTTTGGAAATGACCCACTAGTCCTCTCTAATGTGCTTTGTTGTTGTTAAGTGCCGTCGAGTCAGTTCCGACCCATAGCGACCCTGAATAGGGTTTCCAAGGCTGTAAATCTTTATAGGAGCAGAAAGCCTCATCTTTCTCCCATGGAGTGGCTGGTAGTTTCGAACTTCTGACCTTGCGGTTCGCAGACCGATTCATAACCACTAAGCTTAAGAGAGGGCTAAAGGTCTTTGGTGCATGTCCCCGAGATGTGACTCACTGTGGATGAAAGCCATGGCCATAGAAAAACATTTCATTATGCTTCTGTTACTATATGGCTCTCTCAAAAAGGTCTTCTATGACAGAAAGTCTGACCCAGTCCAGAATCTTGGACATGTCTTACCAACTGTCCACCCCAGAAGCTTACATGGAAAACAACAGAGAAAGGTAGAGAGTCCCAGCAGGAAAAACTTGTCCATTTTGGAGGAAGAGAGAGCCAGTGTAGGGCATGAAGCTGTAACGGAGGACTATTTATACATCTATGAGGTTGGGCTTTACCAGAAAGGGTTAGGGGTGGGGAAAAAATGGAAGTCCTACAAAGGTCTACCCTGCTTCTATGAAAACAAGTGACTATAATTTATCTTATTGGAAACTTGGGGAGAAGGGACATTGACCAGTCAGTACTGGACCTGATTTATTCTAATCTGATTCTAGGGATTTCTTATGCCGAGTTCCACATTATTGGAGAACTCAAGGCTGAAGTAGTCTCTAAATTTGGGAGAATATATGAGTTCAGCTAACTGACATGCAGAAGGCAGGAAGAATCCTATGCACAGAGCCTGAAAAAGTGTAAACTTATAGGGAATGGACAAAAATCAGTGGCGGAAATCTTAGGCTCAGAGATATGAGCAGAGGATCTTCAGGGGGTCAGTGAGATTCCCACTGCCATTCCTAGAAAGAAGTAAATCCTGGGATGAAAGAGGAGAGAGCTGAGGTGCTGGGTCTTAGACTGGATTGAGTAGGGCACTGGTTCCATTTCTTGGCGTTTTCTGTTGGCTAAGATTAGGAAGGACTTCAGTTTGGAGAGAGGTTAGAGAAGACTGCAACCAAAGGAGGTAGGCAAATCCTCCACACTTCGTGTCAAATTAGGTGTGCTGCCTGAAGGCAGCTAAATGTACAGAGGATTGAGCCTGTGCATTCTAAGAACAGACACAATTTGTATCTCATTCTAAGCTTCCTGTTAGATGTGATAATTTATTCCAAAGCCATCTGTAACTAATAATGAATGTTGCAGTTCCACCTCTGCTGGCACTGGAGAGAACTGATGGAAGGTTCTGTTCTATGCTGACAGCAAATAATGCAGAACAAGTCACAACTGAAAAGGAACAGACTGCAATAGGGCATACTGTTGTTTCCAGCCTAGCAGATGGTAGATTAGGCCAACACTGGCTGAACTGGTAGGGCTTAAACAAGTATGATATGTGGAACATTAAGCATCACCACAATGGATCTGAAAGTATTTGAGAAAGAACAAAAGTGAATTTTTTTTTCATTCATGTCAGATGGGTGATCAAACGATTGCACTTTGAAGCTTTAAACAGACATGCTTTTATTTTTTATTACAAGCTGATGAAGCTCATATGCTGGATTACATATGATGGCCATCCATATTTTGAGCTGTATGGTAATCTTCTGGAGAACAAACACAGTTTCTTATCGTTTTTCACATAATATGTAGCATTTTGTTCAACTGACATTGTAGGTGCTGTTGCTATTGTTCTTAGTTGTCATTGTGTCTGCATGCCCAAAGAGCAAACTGAAATTTCATATTGAAAGATAGAGATGTCCATTAGTTAACTGCATAACTGGGACACAAACTATACTGATAAAGCTTTAAAACAGTACATTAAGTACTAAGGTATTACACATAAGCATACACACACCTACATACCTGTGTTCATCCCAATGACATCATTGATTTTTTTGTTTTCTTTTTTTGCTCTGGGTAATCACTAGTCAATCTATCCCTTTCCTTCCTCTCATCCCCTTTAAGACCTGACCTTTCACATCTTCCCTGAGTTTTCATATTATTCACCCCTACTTTATATGGCCCGCCCTTGTTTCCTTCCAGGAATTCCATATTAATTCCTTAGCTAATGGTACTTCACAATGAGAAGGGCACACTCAAGGTCTTCCCAAACTCAAGAGTCATAAATTGGCCCTTCATCTACTAACATGCTTGTATGTTATACCACATCCCCAAATGCAGAAACTTTCTCCTCCCAGATGTATTGATTAGCCTGAACTGCTTGTCTATATGTGAAATCATATAATATACATTCTAAGAGTCACTCTTATTTTGTATGAAGTTTCACTTCTTCCCAATATTCCTGGTGTGGTGCTGTATAGGGTTACTGATGAGTGGCTGGTGAGGTTGAACTGCCAACATTGCTGTTCAAACCGACCTTGAGGTTGAATACTTATACTACGGCACCACACCAAGACAGGGTATGTTATTGTTGTTATTCTTAAGTGTCATCAAGTTGGTTCCAACTCAGAGCGACCTATGTAGGGTTTCCAGGATTGTGGGTTTGAAAAGCCAACCTTGTGATTCGCAGTCCAGTGCTAATTCTACAGTGTTATACCAGGAGTCCAAGACATGGTATGAAGGTGTGTAAAATATAGACCCTATCCTTGCCATTATGGATCTTGGAGTATACATTATTTTGTTGTTGTTTTGTTTTATATTTTGTATTTTCACTTATGTACATTTTGCCTTCTCCAAAAGATTCCAAGTTCTCTGTTGGGAAAGATCATCATAAAATGTCATTTGTATCACCTGCCCACTTCATCCCCACTGGTTATCACCATGCTAATTGCATAGTGTGGGAAACTAAAATGTACTGCTCATATACCAAATGGCAAACACTTTGCTTAGTACATTAAACTCATTTATATTTACAATCTCTCCATTAATCAGATACTGAAGCTTAGATGGTTGGTGATGAGATTCAAACTCCAGTCAAACTCTGGAGCCTATTCCTTGTCAATATGCAAATGCTTGTGAGAATATATCCATTGGATTGAGCCCTAGGAACACTGGATTTGTGTGAGAAAAAAGACAGATCAGAAATTTATGCCTCTGTTTTTCTGGATACAGGAAGACTGTTGTGGCAGAGCTAAGGTGTTGGAACTGGTGAAGGAATGATGGAAGAAAGCTCTGGGAACTGGAAACAGTGATTGTTTAAGCACTTAGACATGGGAGAGTGCTCAGAGGAAGGAAGACATTGATGGCACTGCAGAAGGGGTGTTGTTAAGTGAAGCCAACAGGAAAAGGCCCAGAGAGATGAGCTCTCTGGTAGTGCTCCCAAGTGCCAGAGGAAGTCTGACTGGATCCTTGTATTAAGAAGGGAGAATAATACAGAGGTTTCTGCAGAGTTTCATGAGGTCCAAACAGGGTGGGAGATGGATGGTGGAGTCAGTGTTTTAGAGATATCCATTCCTGTTCAGCCTAGCACCACTGTTCCAGAAATAGCTTGAGATCCAGCCCATGGTATTAGTGGAACAGAACAAAGCACCTTGACCTGAGGACCTTCTTATTACTAAAGCACAGTTAAGAAGGGGAAGCTCAGTCAGGTGAGAAAGGGAACAAGGAGCACTAGAAAAAGACAGCTCTAAACTCTGGGACATATTCAGTCAAGGGTGAGCAGGGAGTAAGAAGACAAGATGTACCAACTTTTTTGTACATTTAAAAGATAATAGTAACTTTCAAAGACTAAACATGTGCCTGAATGGTTGGAAAATCAAAGGTTAGAAAGAAGACACAGTCTCTTTTTCAAGTCTCTAGATATTTCCTGAGGACGTATAATGACACATATTATAGAAAAGTGAGACTCTTGTAACACCTCCACTCTCTCTCCCTATGCCAGAAAAGTCCCTTCTCCAAACAGGTGTCTGGAATGCATATCCAAAGACACTCTGCTGAAGACAACTACATAGGTATCCATTGAGATAACCAGGCCGCCATAATTTCCTGACTGATGTAATAGCCAAAATTTTAGTATCATAAATATATTTTAATCAATAATATATTTTCTTTTTTTGTAGAAATTTCAGAATATTTCTCAGTTCTCAATATTTGTTTGTGGTTTATCATTCTATCTCCTATCCAATCTCCCAACTTTCAGTTCCAGCACTCAGTCATTTTGAAGTATTTTAGGAGGCTCTATTTTGGCACTTTTGTTATTCAGACGTTCTCTTGTCTCCTGGATTCTTCCCAGGAGAACTAGCAGACACAAATCTAACTTCACTCACTTAGACAATTCTTCACAAACAACTCAGTAAGACCATGGTATATGGACAAAAAGACCAAACTTATTTGGTACAGTCTTCATGTTGGTGTGCTTATAAGAGCTGTTCCAGTAAAACCAACTGTGATTGGGCTAATTCTGACTCATGGTGATCCCATGCTTGTTAGAGTATAACTGTGCTTCATAAGGTTTTCATTGGCTGATTTTTCAGCTGTAGATTACTAGGCCTTTCTTCTGATGCACCTCTGTATAGACTGGTGCTTCCAATCTCTTCAAACATATGGAGACCTGGACACTCTCAATGGGTATCCAAGTACTTAAATGTTGTACCATACAGGCACTTCAAGAGTGATACAGAAGAATATCACTGCTGATAACAATGCTCCCGGAGGACTTGAAATTCATTTTTAAATTTTTGTTTCA